TCCCAGGTCCCCATAACCACTCCCAGCACCCCATAACTACCCCCCCCCAGCACCCTGTATCTGTCCCTTCTCTCTGCAGCACGAGCGGGAGCAGATCATGACCACCAACGTGTGGCTGACCCAGGTGAGCCCCATGCGAGGGACCCCAGTCCTTCCTACCCAGGGACCCCCTGTGGGACCCCCCTATCACCTGCTATGGGACCTCCATGCCCTCTTGCCTCGTGCCTCCTACCCTGTGATCCCCCTTCCCCAGGACCACCTCTCAGTTTTCCTCCCCTTTTGCCCCATGGCCTGGAAATCCCTACCCTGGGACCCTGCTACCCCCTAATTGGGATCCTCACATCCCCTCCCCCATGACATCAACAGCTGTGGGTCTCATCTACCCCCTGATTTGGATCCCCTATAGCCCATGATTTGGGACACCTGTGTCCCAAATCCCTTTGATCCCACTGCTCCGGGACCCCCATACCTCCTGGGCTGGGACCCCATGCCCCCCCCCAGTGCCCCCTCCCTGCGGTGGGGCCGTGCTGAGCACAGGTGCTGGCAGGAATGGGAGGACTATCGCCTCACCTGGAAACCGGAGGACTTTGACAACATGAAGAAGGTCCGCCTGCCCTCCAAGCACATCTGGCTGCCTGACGTGGTACTCTACAACAAGTAGGTGCTATTTGGGGTGTTTGGAGAGGGGCGCCGACCCCACTCAGACCCCAGGGCTGACAGTGCATCCCATCACCCAGCGCCGACGGGATGTACGAGGTCTCCTTCTACTCCAACGCGGTCATCTCCTACGATGGCAGCATCTTCTGGCTGCCGCCCGCCATCTACAAGAGCGCCTGCAAGATCGAGGTGAAGCATTTCCCCTTCGACCAACAGAACTGCACCATGAAATTCCGTTCCTGGACCTACGACCGCACCGAGATCGACCTGGTGTTGAAGAGCGAGGTGGCCAGCCTGGATGATTTCACACCCAGCGGCGAGTGGGACATCGTGGCGCTGCCGGGACGGCGCAATGAGAACCCGGATGACTCCACCTACGTGGACATCACCTACGACTTCATCATCCGGCGCAAGCCGCTCTTCTACACCATCAACCTCATCATCCCCTGCATCCTCATCACCTCCCTGGCCATCCTCGTCTTCTACCTCCCCTCCGACTGCGGCGAGAAGATGACGCTCTGCATCTCCGTCCTGCTCGCCCTCACCGTCTTCCTGCTGCTCATCTCCAAGATCGTGCCGCCCACCTCGCTGGACGTGCCGTTGGTGGGCAAGTACCTCATGTTCACCATGGTGCTGGTGACCTTCTCCATCGTCACCAGCGTCTGCGTGCTCAACGTGCACCACCGCTCCCCCACCACTCACACCATGCCTCCCTGGGTCCGCACCCTTTTCCTCCGCAAGCTCCCGGCGCTGCTTTTCATGAAGCAGCCGCAGCAGAACTGCGCACGGCAACGCCTGCGCCAGCGTCGCCAAACCCAGGAGCGAGCCGCAGCCGCCACGCTTTTCCTCCGGGCCGGTGCTCGTAGCTGTGCGTGTTACGCCAACCCTGGGGCTGCCAAAGCCGAGGGGCTCAATGGCTACCGGGAGCGGCAGGGGCCGGATCCCCCGGCACCGTGTGGCTGCGGGCTGGAGGAGGCGGTGGAGGGCGTGCGTTTCATTGCGGATCACATGCGCAGCGAGGACGACGACCAGAGTGTGAGTTGGGGTGGGGGTAAAGGGGGGGATACGTGGGCAGGGAGGAGGGTAGGGGGTGTGGGGTGCAGGCAGAGACATAGGGTGCCGGTGTGGGGGGTGTTGGTGGGGTCCACGTAGAGCTGGAGGGTGCAGGAGGGGCTGTGGGGTGTGGGGTGCAGGAAGCATTATGGGGTGCAGGCAGGGCTGAGGGAGATGGGGTGCAGGCAGTGTTATGGGGTGCAGGGGGGGCTATGGGGCATGGAATGCAGGAAGCATTATGGGGTGCAGGGGGGGACTATGAGACATGGGGTGCAGGCAGTGTTATAGGGTGCAGGGGGGACTATGAGGCATGGGGTGCAGGCAGTGTTATGGGGTGCAGGAAGCATTATGGGGGACAGGGGGGAGCTATGGGACATGGGGTGCAGGCAGGGCTGTAGGTGCAGGCAGGGCTATGGGCTGCACACGCTGCATAGAGCTACAGGATGTGCATAGAGAGCTGTGGGAGGGGTGCAGGGCTGTGGGGTGCGTGCAGCACCCTGGGAAGTGATGTACACACCCACACCACGGGGTCCCTGCCTGGCCGTGTCCCCAGGAGCCCCCAATGCTCCATATCTGGCCCCTTCTCCCCCGAACACCACACGGCTGCTCCCAGGAGGGCTGACCCACGCAGCCGCTGGCGCAGCACCGTGAGGCTGCAGATTTCAGGCAGTCTGGGGTGGGGACACAACCCCAGCGTGGCTGAGCAGCGAGATGAGTTTTCTGGACTCAGCAGAGGAGCTGCCAGGGCAGGGATGAACCCCAGGAGCTGCAACGTTGAGGGTGCAGATCTGGGGCTCCGCAGAATAAAGGGCTGGGAGCTGAGCCCCGAGCTGACCAAACCAATCCTGGCCCCACGCAGGTGAGTGAGGACTGGAAGTACGTGGCCATGGTCATCGATCGCCTCTTCTTATGGATCTTCGTTTTCGTCTGCGTCTTCGGCACTGTTGGGATGTTCCTGCAGCCCCTCTTCCAGAACTACACCACCAACTCCCTGCTGCAGCTTGGCCAGGGCACCCCTACCTCCAAATAGTGCTTGGGGGGAGGGGGGGAGGAACCACAAGGGGCCTGGGGCACCACTGCAAACCAATAAATACTCACCCAGGAGTGGATGATTTGTTGTAGTGTCATTGAGTGGGGCAGGAGAAGGAGCACGTTTTCCACGTGCTTCTCTACAAGCAGGGCTCAGGCATGGAGCACGGAGCAGATGGTGGGCAGTGGTGCGTGGCACGAGGGGATGGCACACGCCAGAAATGATTTAAAACCCATTTATTTAGATAGGGATCGATGATGCCACGATTCGTTTCACACAGCAGGAGAAACTCTGGGCTGCTGCTGCTGTTTCTCAACCACCTCCTCTCAGGTGCTCCCAGCACTGAAATCCTGAGTTTCACCCTGACAGCAGTGTCCTGCCTGGTCCATGCGTCCCAACTCTGCTTCCCAGTTCTGGGTGCAGCCCATTCCCTGCTCTGTCCCCAATTAACAGGGACCCACGAGTCCCAGGGGCAGCCCAGGGGTATGGGGAGCCCTGAGCATCCCAACAGAGCTCCCCCAGCAGCTGGCAGCAGGACAGGGAAGCAGCCAGGCTGCCCCTCCTTGCTTTTCTGCTGCTTCCCATCCACACCCAGGCGGCAGTGAGATGCTGGAGCTGTCACTGTCACCCTGTTCAGTGAGGAGGAAGGAGGCTGAGCACTGCCCTGCAGCCCTGAGCCCCCCTGGGCATTTCTCACCTTCCACAAGAGCGCTTTGCTTGACGTGTGGTTGAGCTCAGACACATAAGAGAGCACATGGCCTCACCTGCAGCCTCCCAGCAGGAAAGCAACGTGACTTCCCCAGCCCAGAGAGGAGCAGCCCTGTCCCAAAGACAAGGAGGAGGTGGGAGAACTCTGCACAGGGCTCAATTCTGCCCCCCAAACCCTTTGGTTAAGGCAAGAAGCTTCATCCACCATTATCACAGCTCAGTGCTTAGCAAACAATAACTCATCTCTGTTCCCTGCAGAACAGCCCTCAGTTCCAAACCCAGGGATCCCCTTTTCAGTCCTGAGCACTTCACACACCCATGGAGCAGAGCCAGGTAACAACACCTAAAATTTATTAACACGGAATGCACTGCTGGCAGCTGTGCAGAGCTCAGTCTGTGTCCCAGCCCAGCCAGGCTGCCAGCCACCAAACAGCAGGGAGAACACGAGACATAAAACAGCCCTGCCAGCTTTCTCCAAAGAGAGAACCTGCCCCGAAATCTGCCAGAGGGAGCTGCAGCACAAGGTCCAAATGTTTCAGGGCTGCGGTCCCTTCTTGTACCTTCTTTTTTTAAAAAAAACAAACAAACAGAGATGAGAATATGAAAGCAAACAAACTCGGGCTGCCCTAGCTTAAAATTAAAACGAGACGATGATTCTCATGCATGGTTTAAAAGAGAAAAAGCAAGGGCCTGGGAGGAACAGGAGCAGAGAGAGAAGGCAGCCAAAGGCCTACAGAGGAAACTGCTGCAACTACTGGTTGCACCTCCAAAGGAAAGTGGGGTAAGATGGACCCATACATCCTGCACACGCTCACCCAAACACCCACCCAGGGCATCTGGTTATGCATCAGAGATGGAGAAGTTGTCCTCCTCCTGTGGTTTGCAGATCCAGCTGCCGTAGCCCATCTCCTCCAGTGCACTGAAGAAGCACTGCTTGGCTTGCTGGTACTGCACGGCTGCTTCCTTCGCTTCTGAGTACACCGAGAGCTTCTGCAGCTCTTTGCAGTCAGTCTTGGCACATAACTGCTGGAACAGGGCAAAGGTTTTCCTCTTGGACACGCGAGACACCTCCAGCTTTGGTCTGAGAAGGAAGAAAAAGGCAACGGTGGAAGATATGACATGCAGAAGCTGACAGGAGCAGAGGATTTGGGACAACCCCTTGGTCAGAGGCCCATGAGACCCCCCAGGGCTCTGCTGCAGGGCCTGGGCACAACCTGTTCTGCTTCAAAAGCTCTGCATCGAGTCAGCTTGAAACACCCCTCCCCACAGCAGATACTGCAACGCTCACTGTAAGAGTACGACTGACCCCGGATAGAAAAGCAGCATCAGGAAAAGCTCTTCTTACCCATCTACTTTCCCTTTTGTGCCATCCAACACTTCCACTTTGCTTCCATCAGCAAGGCACCAGTTCACTGAAGACTCCTTTGTCTTGCCTGTCTGCCTGGCGGAGTCGTACACGCTGACTCGTCCAACCTGCAGCCACAAAGGGAAGGGAGGGGTTCCCAAAACTGATCCCACCACGAGATGGGGGGTAAGAGGGTGAACCTGGGCACATCAGCCCTGCGCTCAGCTATGGCCTTTCCTTTCCACCCCTGATGCTCGGTGCTCTGCATGTTAAAATCCCAGCTACCCCACGCTGAAGGTCCTCCACTGATGCTCCTTTTGGGAAGCGATGGTGCTGGGTCTGATCTCACCCGAGAGAAGTGAAATCTGAGGAGTTTCCACCCCTTGCACTCAGCTCAGCCAAACTCCTGAGATTAAGAAGCCACCGTTTGCTGCTAAAACGAAGGTTAGGAGGGTAACCTTGGTCTGCATTCCCCCAGGAACCCATGGACACAGGGGGATGGCACACACTGCTCGACTGGCTGCCAGGTGACATCCCTACAGGGACCTCAGTGAGAATCAAGGGCTGAGGTGGAAGGGAGGATGGAAACACAAAGAGGAGCACAGACCTCCGGGTGGTTAACACGGTACGGAGCCTGGAGCCTCTTCTGCAGCACATCCCCATCTCTCACCATGCGGCAGCAGATTGCTCTCGTCAGGTGGCCCTGGCTGTACAGGTAACCTATGAAGACACACGTGAAGGCATCAGGGAACAGCCAAACCCTGAGAATGACAGCTGGCAGCCACAGGGATCAGCAGCAGTGAGTTGACTGCTACACACCCCTAGGTGAAGGCTTATGCATCCTTACTAATACAAGTTTTGTCTCACCCTCACGAGCACCTTCTAAAAATCAAGAATCCTGGAGGAAAACCTCACACCACCCACTGCATACAATCCACAAACTCCAAAACAGAACAGCTCTGCCAAGATTGATGTTTCAGACTCTTAACTCCTGCAGTCTCCACACTGGGAAGGGGTTATTTGGCACCCACGGAGGAGCAGTGCAGCACAGCTGTCCCAACCCAGAAAGGGACGATGAGTCTCATACCAAGAGTAACAGAGCTGAGGTACACGGGCTCGATGAAGTGTGACAGCAGTGCTCCTTGCAAGCCCAGGACGTTCCAACGTAAGATTTTGTCACTGCAGGACATGGTGCGCAACCTCTCCCCGTGCTGGATCCCATCCCACGTTGGCACGATGTCACTCGACTCCACAGGAATGGTGCCTTCCCCTGTGTGAGCAAGGAAAGCCCTCCTGTCAGGACTCAGACACTCGATCCCTTTGTTTCTTGCATGCTTCAAATCCCACCATGGCACCACACAGGGCGAGGAAAGGAAGCCTGGAGCTCCAGGATGGCTCAGAACAAAGGACTGCAGCTACCCAACTCACCATTCTCCACCTTGGTCCGCAGCTTGCCTTGTTTGGGGTTCTCAAAGAGGGGCTGGTGCTCTGTCTGTCCCACCATGCTCGCCTGGTCGCTGCAGGACTTATCAAAGAGTGCTCCATCTCCACAAGGTGCTGTGCTAGAAGTGAAATGCCAGGTCATGGGGAGCTGCCAGGGCCGGAGGTGCTGCACTGCTCACCCCCTGCATCACCCCACACCAACCTGATGTAGAGGTGGAAGGTGATGTTGCTTTTTATTTTGAGTCTCCTCCCTCCTGCTGGCTCCAAAATGCTTTCTTCTGGAGAAGGTTTAGAGGGGTCATACTTTATCAGCTCACTATAGAGAAACCTGAAAACAGGAACAACGCGTCAGAAGGGGCTTTGCTCCTCGAGACAAAATGCACATTGATCCACATGCTGCCCAGGCTCTGGACAAGCAGGGTCCCAAGCTCTGCCTCCATTAAACCAAGGACAGAAGCCAATGAATGGCACGTGACACCACAGAGAGGCATGAAACAGCACATTTCCAAGCAGGCAGATGACATGCAATAAAAAAATATGCGTTGTGTCGGGTAAGCAGATAGAAGCACTGGCAGAGGAGAGAAAGGAGGCTGGCTGGCTCAGCTCTGCTGTTTTTATGCAACTGATCTGAGCGTGAAGAAGACTTCAAGGTTGTTAACCTAGCACCTTTAGTCAGCACCGAGTTTGCACGCAGAGTGAAGAGCCCCAGAGGCAGCTGAACATGAGCAGCATCATCAGCACAACCCCACGATCCGTTTACATTGACTGGGTCTTTCATGGCTGCTGCTGGCTGGGAGCAGAGGAAAACCCTGAGGTCTCCAACACACCGTCAAGGACTAAAGAAAAACTGCAGCTTCACAGGGATCCCTCAAGAAGAGCGTGTGCAGGAGAGGTGAAGCTCACTGCTGTCATCTCCGACAGGCTTTGCTGTGCCAGAGCAGCCCAGCAGCTACAGCTGTCAAGATTAATAGCTCAGACAGGAAGCAAGAGTGCAACCCTGTGATTTCACAGCCTGCTGAGGACAGACCCTCAACACCTTCCAGAGCTGAGGATGGCACAGAGGGCAGACGACAGCTTTACAAAAGCAGCTTGCTTTGCTGCTGCTCATAACTGGGAAGGCAGGCAATTATCGAGGCTCACCCAATTGCATCTCACTCCAGTTCTCAAGAAGCGCTGAATGCTTTCACAGATAAGAGAACAATCGGGCAGTTTGGTTTGGGAAAAGCCTTCCCAGCTGATGAAAAGGGATTTGTCACTTATCAGCACACGCCTTCTGCACCCACAAGTGCCACCAAAGGATCTGGGCTGCAAAATCCCCCGCGCTGCCTGGGAGTTCTGTGCTCAGACCAGAGCCGTGCTTTGCGTGCTCTGCACCACGCTTTATTTTAAGTGCAGCAGAAACTGCCCTCGGGCTCTTGGCAAGTCTCCAGTTTGCTACTAATTTGGGTACAGTTCAGGCGTGGCCCTTCCTTATCACAAATAACATCCCTCTTTTTAACAACACATGGGTAAAACGGTGTTAAAGCAGTGCAGGAACCGCCGTGGCTACAACCCTTGGCAGGCACATCCGCCTCTCCCTGGGCTTCCCCCTCCTCACCTCACAAAGCCTCTGCGAGAAATGATTTCTGCATGGCAGTCATTCACCGTCTCCCCCTTCAAGCTCAGCTCTTCTCCTTTCACACACCGATTACCTGAGGGGGAAAATAGAAGAGAAATGGAAGGCTTGTGTCACTCAAAGCCATGGCAAGAGCCTTGCAGAAAGGTTTCATCGCACCAAGTTTTGCTTCCCTGAGCAGGACAGGTTACCACCTTGACCCAGGCAGGGAGGAAAAGGAGGGACAGAGAGCACACACTGCTCCACGGACAGCAGAGACTGACTGCCACACTTTTAGGGCAGTGTCCCTCCAAGCCTCAGTGCTTTTCAGCTGTGACAAAGAGGGAAACCTGTGCTATCTGATGCGGGAAGGAGCCCACGCTCTGATGCACAGAGCAGCACACAGCAATGCAAGCAAAGATTAAGAGCCATACAGCTGAAGGCATGATCACTTTGTTCTTTCTTTCCAGCTAAATCACTTGTGACACCATGTGAGCCCTGGGAGCATTGCTTGCCCTTCCAAGGCCTCCAGCAGCAGCCGTTCCCTGCTTGGAGCTGATGGGGAACCCAGTGGGGGACTCAGAGCTCAGCTGATGCTGGAAGCAGCCCATACCTGTCCCGATGCTGACCACCACTCCCAAATCCTGGTTTCCCTTCCGCATGATGATGGCAGCCAGGATCTTCCTCCCAAGCAGGCTGTGCTGGATGCAAGCAGTCAGGGTGTTGAAGCGCTGGTGGCTCAGCATGGCCATCTGGTCGTGGAGGGTGCTGCCCCTCACAGGGAGCTGCAGGGCAGGGAAGAAAAGAGCTCAGGTAGCAGCTAACCCAAAAACACAGCTAACCAAGCAGAAGGCAGGAACGCACAGAACACGGACTGCAGGCAGAGCCATTTGGGGCTGAACACACGGAGTCACACCAAGGGCTGGGTGAGGATCTTTGGGGTATTTCTGGGAAAGCCTCTCCAACGCTTCGAGTTCTGCTCTAAGCACATCATTAGCTGCAGCAAGCTGTCTGCCTGGCAGAGCTAAACGAGCTGAGGGACTGCCTCCTGAGGCTGCCAGGGGGAACCCCACTGCAAAGCAACAAAACCCAACCTTGTCTGTTTTCCCAGAGGCTCAGCCAGGGAAATCTGTGCCTGGCTTTGCAGGAATTCCTCCTCTGGCTGCCTGTTGGGAGACTGCACCTGCAATGCCTCCTCTATCACTGCCTTCCACCACATCCTCCCTGATGGATTTGCTATTTAGAGCCACAGCTGTGCGATTGGGAATGCAGCTTTCTGAGAAAAACTCCAAGTGAGATTTCAGGTTTGGGATTTCCATCCTGGCTCAGCCAGAGCTCCACTTGTATCCGATGCACGACTTTCTGAGCTGACGTAATTTTCAGTCTAGTATGAAGGCATTTGGGATGGATTCTTTTTTCTTTTTTTAATCAGAATAAAAATGAAAGCATTCCTGTACCACCACAGGAACATACTTCAGCAGCTCGTGGAAGTATCAGAGCATAATGAAGCCCTAAAGCAGACACCAGAAGGAGGGAAGAGCGTGGCTGCGCCCTGGGGAAAATACGCAACCCATTTTAGCAGAGCATCAGCTCATCTACACCTTCAGAGAACAACGATCTGGGGCATTTTTTCTGCTGGACTGAGCAGCACCGGATAGAGAGGGCTACAAAAGCAGACCCAGCCTTAGAGCTGGACGTTACCTCTGTGATGCTCATCCCTCCCATGCGCTCTGCTTTCTCCGTTTCTCCGATCAGGACGCGGAGCGCTGCGTCAGCTGCCTCCTGCTTGCCCTGCTTCTTACTGTGTGCAGTTACAGCTGGGAACCAGCGACCTCCAACCTTCGCCTGATAGACAAACCTGTAAAGACAGCAGAGCATTTGAGAAGTGAAGAAAGCCTTCGATTTCGGTCTGGTTTTGAATCTCTCAGCACAGAGAAGAGCAGAGCGCAGGCGGTGCATCCTCAGCTGGACACGAGGTTGGGCAGAGGCAGCAGCACAGCCTGCTGTCATCTCAAAGCACAAGATGAATTTGACATTCTCTACTCCAGGACAACAGCAACAAGGCAGGATTTCCACCCGGAGAGACACAGCCACTTACTTTGGGTCATGGGGAGGTCCTGTCTGGTCAATGAGTTTGAACTCTGCAGCAAAGCCATTGGAGCGGGCGTATTCCAGCAGGCCACTGACAGGGTTGACATTGAGGTATTTGATGAGCTCCCCAACACCCTTTGCTTTCACTGCTTTGGATTCATCAGGAACGGTGATCTGCAGAGCACAGCTGTGTTCACCCTGGGGCTTCACAACGGGCTGGAAGAGAGTTGGACAAGACAGGGATGTTAAACACCATCAGTACTGCAGGCTTCTGCACAGCTCTACCAGAGCCACAACGTGACCTCGTGAGGTGAAATGCAAGAAATAAAGGGGGAATGCGACACAACAAAATAGCTGGGTGTCACAAAGCAGCTCTCTGTACCTGTTCAGGTGGGACACGTGGCGCGGATTCTCCAGAAAGAATCTTCACAGCAACCTCTGCTGCCATTTGCTTTGCTCCCTTCTTGCTGTTTCCTACCACAGCAGGGAAAATTTGGTCACCCATTTTCACACAGTAGCTGAACCTGACAGGACATCATAGCAGACGAAGAGCATTAAGCACACACATCTCAGTCTGTTTATTTTCCCTTTCTCCCAGTTCAAGTTTAAATCCTTCTGCGTTATCTCCAGTTTGAATCTACCACCACGGCCTCAAGCTGGAAATCCCAGAGCAGTGCTACCAGGTAGGGCACAGGACTAGAAGCTGTTCTTGGTGCAGCAGAGCATCCCTGCTCTGAGAAAAGGCATTCTTTTAGTTTCCTTCTAGACACAGATGTTGTGGAGGAGCCATGCCCAGACTCCTCAGTAAGAGGTTAGGGTCAGGAGGAGCAGAGGAGCACGCTGAACAGCGAGGTGTTAAGGGAAGGAAGGGTTTCCATCCTCCCCAGAGCAGACAGCAGCATGCCATACCTGGGATCGTGGGATGGGCCATCCTGAGACAGCAGCAGGAATTCAACTGTGTTCCCAGACTTCTGCCCATACTCCATTAGCACGCTGATGGGGTGCTTCCCAGGGAGCAGGTTCAGCTGAGCCGGTGCAGGAGACAGCTCTGGCTCTGAATGCAAAGGCTGCAACGAGAAGATTGAGGAGATGGGTTTCAAAACAAGCACTGTTTGACCAAACTCAAAAAAGGAGATGACAAGACTCACCTGTTCCAGCTCAGAGCTGTCAGACACAAATGGCATTTCACTGTTAAGTCCGTCGGGATTTCCATTCTCTGCTTCTTGCATCAGGATCTTCATGGCATTAGCTGCTGCCTCCTGTTTAGCAAGTTTTTTGCTTCCTGCTTCTGCTGGTGGGAATGGGCGCCCATTAATCAATGCCTGGAACTTAAACCTTTGAAAGAAAACCAACAAAGAGACAGAAATCAGCAAGGCAAATCAAGAGGCAAAGCCGTGGTGCTCTCACTGCAAGTGTCTGCTTTTGGAAGTCGATGAGAATGAGCGGGCAGCTCCAAGCTGAGAGCAAACCTTTGCTGCTATGTGCAGAAAGGAGAGCTCTGTGCCTGGGTCCCACTTCACAGCATCTCCAGAGCTGCTTAGATTTCGTTCTGCAAGAAAGGGATGAGCTGCCTTGTTCTGCACAAGGCCACAAAGAAACAGCTGGAAAGATGCAACAACCCCTTGCAAAGAGCAGCTCAGTCGCATCCGATCGGATGCCCCATCCCTGCAGGCATTCAAGGCCAGGTTGGATGTGGCTCTGGGCAGCCTGGGCTGGTGGTTGGTGACCCTGCACACAGCAGGGGGTTGGAACCAGATGAGCACTGTGGTTCTTTTCAACCCAGGTCATTCTATGATCTCCTGCACAGGGAAGCAGGAAGTCTGAGATGCAGCCCATGCTGCTCTGCCTGCACCTCATCTGGGCTCATCTGTCCCTCTGGCACTTTCCTTGAATGCAAGCAGTGCTGTGAGCCACCCAATGCATTCATAGCAGCTCAGGAGGGGCTGCCTCACACACACCTCTCGTGTTTGTTTGTTTTTCCAGCTGTGCAGCTCCTCTCCTGTTCTCCAGCTCCGCGCACAGGAAACTTGCTTCCAGAAAAAAGGGGTCACACGGGATCCAGAGATGGGCTGAATCCATTCCATCTCCCCTTACAAAAATGACCTGGGACTTTGCCTTCAGAAATTAGGCCAATTTTCCTGTCTAGCGAGTCTATTGACATGTTCCAGCGTGGCACATACACACTTTTCCACCATCTCACTCAGGAACAGCCACAATTCAGCAGTCGAGGTGGGACCCCAGAGACTGACTGCACACAGAGTAGCATCATGCTGCACTCTGACCTACCACACCACTGAGATGCTGCGGGTGGGTTCACCTCATTTAACCCAAACTCGCTGCTCTCAGGTGCTTTGTTTGGGACTTCCTTTGTGGCACGTCCACAGCTTGCATGTGGATAAGTCAGAGGTACCCCAGAAATGCCAGTTTTACTCTTTCAATGTAAGTAAAATTGAAAGCCAAGGGACCAAATCAGGCAGGGCATTTAGCAGAAGAGATGAATTCTACTTCTGTATGGGGTTACCAGACCAAGGCTGCCTAGGGTTAAAACTTAGCCTGGCTGATTCCTGCTTAAATACAGATCTTAATCAGTCCAAACATCAACGAGCAGCCCTCTGGGACAACACCAGAGCGAAGCTGGTTGAAGTCAGCTGAAACAAAAAGAGCACAGGGATGTTAGGAAGCGTTCTTACCGTGGCTCATGAGAGGGCCCACTCTGCTCCAGCATGGTGAACTCACAGTGCTGGTAGGTAAACTGGGAATACTCGGTGAGGCCACTCACTGGGTTCTTCTCCTGGCACGCCAGCAGCTTCTCCACGGGCGTGCATGGGAAGACACTGTTAAACTGAGCAGCGTAGCTGGGGGAAGACTGGGAGTGCATGATGGATTCTGACCCATCCGGCTGCTTGGTGATAGTGTTCAGATAATCTGGGATATCATCCGAAGCCCACCTGCCGTTTTCAGAGCTATCATAGCTGCTGAAGCCAGAAAATAAGGGCTTGGAGTCCTCGGGCACGGCTGCTTCCTTGCCAGCAGCATCGCTCTGAATGCATTGCTCTGATGGCTGCTGTGCATCTCCCACACTTCGCTCCACTGTCGTCGCTGCTGGTGAGGCTGCAGCCACCTCCTGCAGAGCTGGAGGCACAGGAGGAGGCTGCACTCCCAGCTCTGGTGCAGCATCTGCTGGTGCTGCTGCAGTGGCTTTCAGCCTCATCTCCATGCGCTCACGCTTCCTGCTCGTTAGGGACCATCGTGGAGGGCTGGAGTTCTGCTTGCGGACATCTCCCAGCTTCTCCAAAGCACTGAGAAAGGAATTCACATCCTTCGCCCTGGAAAATCCGATATTTTTGGCAAGGTTGATGGCCGTCGTGTCCGCCACGCTGAACAAGAAGTTGCAGATTTTGTCCTTGGTCTCAGCCATGGTGGGATTGGGGTCTCTCACGCCAGCTGCACTCCTCTCCTCCCAGCTCTCAGGAGCTGGGTCTGTGTTCCTCACCCCGTGCTCAGGAGGGTTTCCTTCTCTTTCCGTGTTTGGGTTGGCAATCCTCCACAGCGGCGGCGTCCCAAAAATTCTGTGCAATTTGCCTTCCTTGAGGAGGTTATACAAAACACGATTGACCTCCTTCTTTTGAGTTTTAAGCTTACGTACAAGATCGTGAACTGTACAAGTCTCTCCTTCCTGGAGCTGCCCCAAAATACTCAGAATTTCTTGTTCCAAGCTCTGCCCAGCAAGAGACAGTCTCTGTAAATTCAGCCTGATGGCGAATGAATCTCTTTGCAAGTCCTCCTGAGGGTGATAACGAGGAAGGGGACGATGTGGGGGTGTTTCTACCTGCTGCTGCTTGCTGGAGAACCTATGCCATCCTGCTTTGCCACGGCCGCCCTGCCCTCTCCCTGCAGGAGCAGCAGCCTGCCATCCTCCAGCACGCAGCTTGCTGTACGACTGCGGTTTCTGAATTAAGCAGACATCACCATCCTGCTCTGCCAGGTGCCAAGAGGATTCCCAGTTTGTTTTCTGCGAGGGATGGGGGCAGTTGAAGAAAGCTGGGTGAGTGTTGGTGCAGTTATGCCTCGCTCGGGTGAGATGTGAGCCTTTGCCTCGAGCAGTGCCTCTGCTCATAGCGCACTGCTTGAGCACACGTTTGTGTCCAGGCTGCCTGCACACCAGGAACAGCGATTCTCTCCTCTTCTCAGTAGATAACCTGCTAGGAAAACGCACAAAAAAAATAACCCGACAAGGATTAAAAACCCAATTACACAATTATAGGCTTCCAGAGGTGCAGTCTGAACAGCCTCCATGCTACTGAGACGTGCGTCCTGCCAAGCCTTCCTGCTTTCCACTGACATTAAATTATTCATGTGAGCACAACTGGCAAATTACACCCTCCCAGGTCAGAAGCCAGCAGTCAGGAACCCTGGGTGAGGTTAACAAGAAAACAACTTTAAAAGAGAGATACGCTGCTCTGGTTGGGCTGAGCATCAGTGAACATCAAGCCAGCTGCACAGACTGTCTGAATTTTGGTGATTCCTTCTGGCACCACTGGGTGATTCCAAGTCATGAGCAAGTTTCACTTCTCTGTCCACAGGGAGGCAAGAAACTCAAGTCTGCTTTTTGCAGCTTGAGAGGCAGAGGGAGGTGAGGCAGCTCAACGTGGCACAGAACAGAGCTGTAAGAGCCTCACGGTGGATTTAAGATTCGTAGCTGAAGTCTGAAACCCCAAACGTCCCCTTGTTTGTGGACTGCACACGACCTACAGAGGTAAAGCATCACGCTGCAGAAGTAAAGCGATAACCTCCAGGGAAATCGGATAGCTGGGCACTTTGTAATGCCATGAAGGTGTTCTGGGATGGCAGCCCGAGTTTCACTCACACCCTGAAGGCTGGGCCATCTGCTGGGCTGCAGCTCTGAGCTTTTAAAGTGCTGGGAGTATCCCAGCCTTCCTATGCACAGCAATGCATAATTCCTTTTGGGTTCCTTTTCTGGGACCCCCACATCACCCAGCATTGGAAAACTCTTTGCAAAGAAAGTCCTCCGACTTCCCAAGGTGCTGCAGCACCTCAGGGTGACGTGTCAGACAGAAAGGAGGAGGAATGTCCCATCCCTGCAGGCATTCAAGGCCAGGCTGGATGTGGCTCTGGGCAGCCTGGGCTGGTGGCTGGAGACCCCGATTCTATGATCCTCCCTGGAGTCAATGATTCTATGGCTCCTTATGGCACCCCATGGATCCTAATGGCACCCCATGGGTTTTCTGGGCAGCCTGGGCTGCTGGTTGGTGACTCTGCACACAGCAGGGGGTTGGAACTGATGATCATTGTGGTACTTTTCAACCCAGGCCATTCTATGAGTCAGTGATTCTATGGATCCTAATGGCACCTCATGGATCCTAATGGTACCGCATAGATCCTAATGGCACCTGGGCTGCTGGTTGGTGACCCTGCACACAGCAGGGGGTTGGAACTGATGGGCGTTGCCGTTCTTTTCCACCCAGGCCATTCTAGGATTCTATGATGATTCTATGATTATGGCATCCTGTGGATCCCTAAGGCACACTAGAAGTTCTTATGGCACCCTATAGATCCCTATGGCACCCTATGGATCCTCCGGGCAGCCTGGGCTGCTGGTTGGTGACCCTGCACACAGTAGGGGTTGGAACTGATGGGCATTGGGGGCCTTTTCAACCCAGGCCATTCAAGGATTCTATGATTCTATGGATCCTAATGGCACCCCATGGATCCTAATGGCACCTGGGCTGCTGGTTGGTGACTCTGCACACAGCAGGGGGTTGGAACTGATGGGCACTGGGGGCCTTTTCCACCCAGGCCATTCTAAGATTCTATGATTTTATGGGTCCTAATGGCACCCCATGGATCCTAATGGCACCCCATGGATCCTCTGGGCAGCCTGGGCTGCTGGTTGGTGACCCTGCACACAGCAGGGCATTGGAACCGATGATCACCGCGTTCCTTTCCAACCCAGGCCATTCTATGACCGGTTCTATGAAAGAAGGGAGGCTGCACACGGAGCGCTCGGTTCCCAAAGCAGCAGAACGCGTTCAGCTCACGTCGCTCCTTAACCACCCCGACCACCGACTCCGCGTTCCCAAACCGCGGCTCCTTTCGGTCCAAAGAAGCACCGGGGGGGGGCAGCGCTTCCCGTCACGCGTTACCTGCGCTCCGCTCCGCGTCCGGACGCCCAAACCGAATCGCCGGAGGCGGTGCCGGTCCCGAGGTACCCCGTAAAATGGCTGCTGATCCTTTCGCTTTCGGTTCCGTCCCCGCAACCGTTTTCTCCGCCCCGCCCGGGGGCGGGCAGCGCTGGGACGCGGCGCCGTGCCCGGAACGTGGGGAGAGACGGGAAGACGGGGACGGGGGGGGGGAGGAGCGCGGCCGTGCTGGAGGCGGCGCGGAGCTGCGGACCGGGGGAGGGGTTCCGCTCCGGTCCCGGTACCACCGTGCGCGTCTCCGAGCGCCGCCGCGGCCACGAGACGGAAATTCTCCTTATCCTCCGTGTTCACGCACGGCGGAGGCACAGCCCCGCACCCCGCCGTCCCGTCTCCGCGCCCCCACCGCCCCCCATAGAGCGCCGGGTGCCTCCCGGGACGCCGTGCCCTGCCCCCCCCCCGCGCCCTCTTACCGCCGCCACCAGCGCCGTTGCGGGCGTGCCATGATGACGTCATCGATCCGCGCCGCGCGGCGTCGCGGCCGCCATCTTCCTTCAGGGCACGGCGCGAAGGCCGCGTTCGGGCAGGACAACGTAGAGCAACGCAGGGCAACGCATGGCGGCGGGGGGGTTGCCCAGGCTGCTTCCTTACGGAGGACACCGCCGCGATCCCCGAATCCCCCATTCGCCCCGCCCCTCCGGGCGCCGCCTGTTGCTGTGGGCGCGGCCGCGCGAGGCCTCATCCTGCACGTGCCCGCTACTGCGCATGCGCCCTGTGGTAGCCGTGGTGAGCATGCGCCCTGTGATAGGCGTGATGCACATGCGCCTGAGCGCTGCCGAGTGGGCGCATGCGCAGAGCGCGATGCCCACGTGCCCGGTGGGCGTCGGGTCTGGTTTGTGGGGGGGTCTTCGTTCCCCCAGCTGCCCTCCTGGGCTCTGTGGTTACTAAAACTTCTCTGGCCCCATGGCCCCCGTTGTTCTCTGGGCCTCCACCCCCCCCCTCCCCATTCCCCTGCGTTCCCCCAAAGCCCCCCAGGTTTTCCCTTCCCCTAAACTCTCCCCACACCCTATGGGGGTCGCTCACCTTCCGTGCCCCCCACCCCTAGCAGCCCCTACATCTCTCATAGGGCCCCACTGCACCCCATGGGGCTTCACTGCCCCCTGTGCCCCCCCACTCCCCCAACCTCCAGTTTTTCCCATTTCAATTCA